AGAAAATAAGTCTTTTTTCTAACACTGCTAGATGTTATATATATAGGGCATTTTGCTACTTTTTTAGGGATTCCGGGCTTGGGAAAGAAAGTGACTTCCATAAATTTTAGAGTCATTGAAGAGCATATTTTCCATTGATTTTGATGAATAATTCTTATCAACTCATGATAATTGTTAATTTCAATATGAGTAACTAACTTATTTTAGATTAGGTCTTTTGAGATGAACCTAATTATACTATATTGAATCATATGATTGTTTAATATTATTTGAATCTCTCTCTCTCTCTCTCTCTCTCTCTCTCTCTCTCTCTCTCTCTCTGTTTTTATTTTCTGATTATCATATTTTTCGTTACAAACTAGGTATCCTCTACGCGTAACTACAGAGACTAATCTCTCGAACTAGAGAGAACCACAATAGAAGGAGATCAATTTTTCAAATCGGAAAGAACAACAACAAGAGACAAAACTCTTCCTTAAAAAATTTAACACTAAGTAATGTTTTAATTCTTTTATCTTTAATTTCATATTAATAATCAATTTAAGCTAATCACTAACTCTTTATTACCTAACACCATAACCGAAACACTTTGAGAGACAAAGACAAACTAAGCTCACCCCACTACCATCATAACCCAAAACACCTTGAGAGAGGGAGAGAGTGAATTCACACGTTTTCTAGATGGTAAAATATGAAGGGAAGAGCCTCTATTTATAAGTTAGAGGTTGGCACAAAAAAGTAAATTATTATGGGCCAAAATTGGTGTGACAATTGATTGACACCTTGCTCCAATCAATTAGAAGCCTTAAAAATAAACTATTAAAAAAGTTAAAAAGGAAACAAAGGATCCAGAGATATTTTCCTTCATTAATACACTGTCAAAATTTTAAGAACAACTTTTCTCCCTAACCCAATCGACTGGGTATGACTGCTAATCGAATGGACAATATAATTTTTTTTTTGCAAAACTGTCCTAAGAGTTCTCAATTCAACTAGCACCACTCCAAAACATTTATAGAGATGTTTTCTTAAGAAATAGAAGCTTAAAACTGGTTTTAATGTGTGTGTGTGTGTGTGTGTGTGTGTGTGTGTGTGTGTGTGCGTGCGCGCGTGTGCGATTTATCCGTATAACTTTTCGGGGAAAAAAACCCTTTGTGTTTTTATAGCACGTGATTCACATAGACGAGATAGGGTGAGCTCTTACACTTCATCTTTTTCACACATTGAAGTTTCAAGACTTTTCAAGTAAACCAATCATATAAACACCTTCTTGAATCTTCCTGGATATGAGGCTTGATATTCGTTTATGTTCAGTATCATAATCAGAGGATGTTTGCAGTGATCATCCAACTCTAACTTATCTGTTTGGATATTTTAACTGTTTGTGTCATTTAAATCCTCATAGGATGTTGTTTTACAAGTTTCAATACCGATAATATTATTAAATTCTCCTTTTAGTTGTCATCGTCAAAAGCTTCTTTGATTACTTACAAAATATGGTTCCACATAAAATATCATTGTTTCATCATATAATCATCAATCTTGGAGCATAATAAACATTGAACATACAATATTTCAAAATCATAATGTAAATATTTATTTTTCTATCAATATTTAATTTATTCTCTATTCTTATTCAAATTTAAAAAGAAAGAACATTAACAATTAATATCTAACTCATGCTTTCGTAAGTGACTTTGATACCACTGAAGGAAAATCCTTAAAATACAAAGAAGAAACCTCAAATTTCCCTTAAGTTAATCCTTACAATTAAATATTATCACTCACAAGATGGTTACCTCTTGTGACGGTTAAAAGATGACGTATAATTCAAAAAATGATCATTAGCATTGAATGAACAACAACAGTTCTATGCATCCCACAAGAATTTCTTGCCTTCAATCATAATGTTTGATCTTCTAAATGAAAACTTTGATATATATATATATATATATATATATATATATATATATATATATATATATATATATATATATATATATATATATATATATATATATATATATATATATATATATATATATATATATATATATATATATATATATATATATATATATATATATATATATATATATATATATATATATATATATAGAGAGAGAGAGAGAGAGAGAGAGAGGCTAATATTTAACAAATCAAATTTGGTTAAGTATGAACACTTCAGCAAAAGGATTCTTTTATAGAACTGCTTGTGTGGGTTGCAGGCTAAGCAAGCCCACCTAAACACATCTTACATTTTGGTGTACCTTATTTTACGTAAGAGCATTGTACCTTACTGATGACATTTGGTCATTACGTAATTTTTGTCAGCAATTTTGGACAGATCAGTAGAATTATGATCAAAAGTTAAGCCAAAATGTGGAACAAAGAGCAAAAATAACTAAGAGGAAGAAAGTTGGGACTAAGAAATTTTGAAAAATAAAAGGAATAAAATAAGTTATTTTACCTGTGTTTTTCTCGCGTCTGTGATAATCTCATTGTGGGCACGATAATGTAACATCGAGATCGGGATATATGCCAGTGCGATAGAAGCGCTATAGAACCACGTTTGACATTTCTCCCGTAGAACCACGTTTTTACAGAGACATGGAACCTAAAAGAATCATAATCTCACAATCCTCTACATCATCTGCATCTCCTACTCAAGATGTTTTTCTCTTCCCAAACTGCATTTTCTTTTCGCAAGTCAATGCAAAAAAATTTCTCTAGGTTAAAGACTTCAAGGTGGTGAAAGAGAAAGCATTTGATGTTCAATACTTGTAAGGATATTAAGAATTGCTTATCATGTTGGAAGATAGAGGTTGAGCGAGATTGAATAGCATGATCAAAGAAACCAACCAGTTCATTGGGCTGGAGTTTTATACCAATGTTGCCTTGTGTCCATTCAAAGACTACACATCTTATGTGTGAGGTAAAAGTATTGATTATAGCCATTTTAAAATTAATTATCTACTTCATCTCCAAACTCCTCAAATGTGTAGCATTTAAAACATAAGGGGGTATTAGGTTGACCGAGAGAATGTGCAAAAAGATGTTAGACTAGTTTTTTTAACCAGAGGCTGAATGCATGATTGTGAATGAGAAACCATTAGGGTTGCGCACAAGGAAAATTCATCTTATAACAAAGGCATGAGCCTCATTTGTTTTCAAACTTTAGAGTCTACATCTGACTAGTTTGAGTTTATTATGAAAAAGTGTCATGCCCTGATGGAAATTCTAAATCAGGAGTCAATCGATGTTCGGTATTTAATCGCTGAAAATATTAAGTACATGGTTGACACCACAAAAGCTTTTGGGCGTTTTTGTGTTATTGATGAGTTATGCATCTTAGATAGAGTTTCAAGTCACCGTAATGATGTGATAGTGAGTCCTATTTTTCCAATTAACAAAAAGGCTAATGTCTTGTAGCACATTTTGAAGGGCTAATGTGAGTCATATGCATGTTAGAAAGCTTTTTTTTTTAATTTGAAGGGCTAATGTCATGTAACTCATTTGTAATTTTTTTATTGCTAGTGGTGCAAATAGGTGAAGGTGTTGTTTGGTTATCAATATGTTCTTTAAGTGGTCAAGAATGGTGTTATTCTACTTGTAGATGATGCAACAATTGCACAAAGGTCTACGCATAAGGAATAGAAAACGAAAGATTACAACGTGTTATTTTTTATCCATCAATGTGTTGATGTGGATAATTTCGAAAAAATTAGTAGGCAAAAGTGGAAAATTAAAAAGAAAACGTATGCAGGAGCTGACAAGGCAAATGTGGTGAGGTTACAAACTCGCAAGAGGCAACTAAAGTTGATTTAAATAGTATTGAAGGAAAAAATTTGCGAATTCATAATGAGAATTGAAACATTGGTATATCAAGTGAATGTGTGTGGTGTAACACATTTTGTAGGGCTAATATGAGTTTGTGCATGTTAGAAAGTATTTTTTTATGAATTTGAGAGGCTAATGTCTTGTAACTCATTTGTAATCTTATGATTCCTTCTCTCTCTAAAGTGAAAAAAAAATGTTTGGTCAATTCATTCTTTATCTCGTTCTTATTATTTAATTTGATTACACTATTAGTTAATAGATTGATTATTGTTTAATACTATTTAATATTTATTGTTTTTTTTTCAATCTATCATTTTTTTTAAACAAACTAGATATCCTCGAACCGGAGTAGATCACAATAGGAGAAAAAACATTGAATATGTTTTAATTCTTTTATCTTTAATTTCATATCAACAATCAATTTAAGCTAATCACTAACTCTTGATTACATAACACCATAACCGAAACACCTTGAGAGACAAAGACAGACTGAGCTCACCCCACCACCACCATAACCCGTTGACATCTCTAGTTCATTCTAACCTTTACCACACCCTTCATGTACGTGACACTTGGAACTCATTAATACCCTCTGACTTTTTCAAACATAACATAACCAATTCCAATTGGATACAAGATTCTATTCTCATAACCTCTTGCATCGACAACGCAACGTTATTTTGTGCCATCTACCTTAGAGAAGAAGTTTGCATAAATCAACATTAGAATAATAATTTGATTGATGCTGAGAGCCAAGGCCGAAAGAGTAATTAATAAATTATTATATAAATTTATATTGTTCTTGTTCTTATTCCTTTCATTGATTGCTCTCACGCCCACTACAATTGATTTCAATTATATCACTCAAACAGTGTGATTCTAGATGCTTGTTCATGTTCATTCAGAGTCACCAAAGGATCAGGAGAATTTGAATTTCCCTTATCCAAACAAATATCTTAAGGAACTTTTCTTTTTCCTATATCCATTTGAAGTATAACTTATTTTATTTTCTACTATCCTAGAATATACAAGTTATACAATCCAATATCTTCACCAACCACTATAAATAAGAGGTGATAAAATCTCAAATTCCACAAAGCAAAACAAAACACAAGATTTCACACACTCTTGTATTGTAGCATCTTAATACATTTCAAGTAATGGATAGAGTCAAGGATTTGGCATCAAAGAAAGCTGCAGTTGTATTCACAAAGAGTTCATGCTACATGTGTCACAGCATAACACAGCTCTTCTATGAGCTAGGAGCAAGCCCTGCAGTGCATGACCTTGACATTGAACCCTACGGTAGGGAAATGGAAAGGGCTCTAAGGAGCCTTGGATGTAACCCTTCAGTTCCAGCAGTGTTCATTGGTGGAAAGTTTGTAGGGTCATCAAAGGATGTGATTTCTCTTCATGTTGATGGTTCTCTCAAGCAAATGCTCATGGCTGCTAGGGCCATTTGGTTCTAGTAATAACTAATGAATAAAACTTCAAAGAGCTAGATCCATGTATACATAGAAGTATATGTGATGGGGCTCTAGTTTGGTTAAGCTAAGGACACTCCTTCTTTTTAATGAGTGTCCTCTTTAGCTTAAACTAAGTGTATGTAAACATAGTCTTGCTTTCCTTTTTTTTGTTTTGCTTTGTAACTTGATGAAATGCCAGCTTACTATGGCTGATGTATATCAAAGTTCTATGAAACTTGGATAATAGAGAAAACACCTCTATTTTAGTTAATGCCACTTCAAATTTTCTCTTAATTATATATATTTAATCTTCGGTTTTCGGTTGACTTTACAATAAAATCGACAGTTTTTGGTTGACTTTACTATAAAATTTGATTTAAAACTTTTTTAGGTATATATATATATATATATATATATTATGTTTTTCTGTAAAGAAAAATAAATAATCATAGTTTGAGAAGTTGAAAAAAAACATGCTTCAATTTCACACTTTATCTAATGACATGATATAATTCCCCCTACTTCTAATAGGCTAATAGATATTCAAATATATGGACAACAGGCATATTTATTTATCAAAGAATAGTATTGTCTGAGATGAGTGACACTCTTTTGGCAATTGCATAGTAATAGAAGTTTTCTATTAAAATCTCTCCCCATTTAGTGTCTCTTTGATTAACCATTTGCATATGTTCCAATACTTGGAAGGGTAAGCACGATGTCTTTTTAGGTTCTATTTGAATATTATTATTTGAATACTTTATGACATAGTAGAACAAATTTATTATTCTGTTGCAATTGAAGAGTAAGGAAATTGATGGGAATGAAATGAAATAGATATTACTATATATTGTTTTAGTTTATCTTAATGGAGTTTTAATCTATTTCATTCCTTATCATTTTATTCTATCACATTCCATTAATTTAAATAATAGAAAAAGATTTTCACTATGCTCTATTATATTCTCAAATAATGAAGACTTTTTAGGTTGACTAATGGGGTTTAATATTCTTGTGGGTTCATTTTAGGGATATCTCTAATCATTTTTCCATCATTCTCTGTTTTTGTAATAAGTTGTGGGTATTGAAACTTTTCTGGTTTAGTAATGATTTGCTCGACAACTCTAGTTTCCATGAGATTGTCCAATCCACTTGGGCTTCTTCTAATTCTTTTGGTTGAAAAGTTTTTATTCTAAAAGAGAAGTTTAAGTCTCCAAAAGGTATTCTAAAAATTTAGAGTAGAGAATTGATAAATTGGATTTATGGTTGAATGAGTTAAGAGTGGGATCTTAGAATTCACAAATGGTTACTTCTTCGGGAGGAGAATTTTGCTATGTCTAGGAACATTTTGAATTTGCGGTCCTTCCTCTTGATTAAGGATTATCTTTTGTTCCAGAGATCTTAGAGTAGGTTGTTCGAGCCTGGGGATTCTATTTGGTTCTCTTTTATTATTGTCTCTTTTTCTTCCATCAGAGATTGATCTCGTGGTCTCTCTCGGTGACGAGAATCAGAGTCCTAGTCCAGATGATTTTAATTTTGCCCTTCTTAGAAGATTTTACTATCTCTTGAGGGAGGATATGTAAGTCTTATTTGACCAATTTCATTCCTAGGATTCTCTCCCCCTGAGTTTGCCCTCCCATTTTGTTACTCTGATTCCAAAGGTGGAATCTTCCTCCCAATTAGGGGATTCGCGACCTATCTCCCTTGTTGGCTCACTTTATAAACTTTTAACAAAGTCTTGGTAGCCAGGTTGGCTAGGTTATGGAGAAACTTATATCTCTCAATTAGTCTATATTTTTAAAGGGAGATTCATGGTTGATGGGGTTATGACAATTAATGAGTTAATGGAACTTTCTAAGAGTTCTAAGAAAGATTTCCTGATCTCTAAGGTGAACTTTGAAAAGGCTTATAACTTTGTGAGTTATAGCTTCTAGTACTATACACTTTTTAGATTTGGTTTTGATAAGAAGTTGTGTGCTTGGATGCGTGCCTATGTTTTTTTAGGCAATCTGATAGTTTTAATTCATGGAAGTCCGACCGAATAGATAAGCATTAAGCGGTGTTTGAAACAAGGTGACCCTTTAGATCATTTCCTTTTCTTACTATTGGTTGAAGGCCTTAGTGGAAAGTTATTAGGGCAATATACTTAGATATTTTCTCACAGTTCAGAATTTGGTCTTCTAATTGTTGTCTCTCCCCTCCAGTATGTTGATGATACCCTTATTTTAGATGAAGCATCGATGAAGAATATTTGGCTTATTAAAGCTATCCTTCGAGGATTTGTGTTTGGTTCGGGTCTCTGTGTTAATTTTTCTAATAATTGACTTACTGGTTTTAAATTTGTGTTTGATTCCTACTAGGAACATTTAATCAGACTTATATTTAGGAGATTAATCACATGGCATCATATGTATGTTACTTTGGAAGGAATAATTATTCTGCTGAACTTGGTTCTTTATTCTACACTGATTTTCTATCTTTATTTTCAGAATATGCTTGTTAAGGTGTGTAAAAGACTTGTGAGAATCCAAAGAAGGTTCTTATAGGCGGTGTAAGGTGAGATTAATATTTCTTAGGTTTGTTGGTTTGAGGTGTGTAAACCTAAGAGTTTTTATGGGTTGGGGTTTCATGATCTTCACCTGGTTAACTTAGCTTTGCTAGGTAAATGGCCTTGGGGATTGTTATCCCTAGATACTGGGTTATGGAGGAATATTTTATCTGGTAGATATGGAGGACCTTGTCATTTCCTCTTTGAAGAGAGGTAGGTTCTCTAATCTCCGTTTAGATTTGCCCTAGAGGAATGCAATCTTTTTCTTAGATTCTAATGCTAGTGAGGCTTCTAACTGGTTTATGGAGGGATATATAAAAGACCGTGGGTCATTTTATACATGTATTTTTTTGATAATCCTTAGGTAACACTTATTCCTGTTAGATTGAGGTTTCACAAGCTTTACCTAATTCACTGTTATCAAGGTAGGTCAGTAGGAGTAATGATGTTGTTTGATGGAGGGTCTGTTGAGGTTGATTTTTTAATGGAGGATTTCTTTCATTGATTGGGGCACAAGTTAATGGATAAATATTTTTGTATTCTTCAATGCGCCACTTTCTTGCTTAGTAGTAGTTCTTCGGTGTGACAAAAGGGTAAGAGTGGGGTCTAGTATGTTGTTTCGTCTTATAACTCTCTCATTGAGGATAAGCTTCTCCCAACTATCCAATTGAGAAGAAAGGATTGATCTTTATCTTTGTCTTCTCCTGGTAGCTTCATCTGGATAAGTTCCTATCTAGAGATAATTTGGCTAAGTGTGGATTTCTCTTAAAGAAGTTACATCAGTGTTATCTTCTAGAAGATGACTTTTGACAAAATCTTTTGGATGTTGCTTCTTCATCATCTTTACTTTCAAACATTCTTCTTGTTTAAGCTTCGTCAAATATACTACTAGATGAAGCTTCTTTAACAAAGTATATGCTAGCAAATTCAAATATAATACTAGATGAAGCAGACAAATTCAAATTCAACCTCTTAGCACATTCAAGCGAAATAAACGAATGAGTAGCACCAGTATCAACCATAGCAATCAATTCAACATCATTAATAAAACACGTATCTCTGATCAAGTTATCCGTCTTGGCTTCTTTTGCACCGCTCAAAGCAAACACTCTGCCACTTGTCTAAGCAGCAGTAGCAGTCTTCTTCGGCTGCTGACACTGGGTACTGATATGCCCCTTCTCTCCACAGTTGAAACAAGTCGGAGCTTCGTCTTTGCAGTCATTAGCCTTATGACCCCTCTTGCCACAACGATGACACCTCAGGGCTTTACAATTCTCAGCATGGTGGCCTTGCTCGCCACACTTATAACACTTCCTTGGAGCAGTAGCCGCTCCCCCACTTGGCTTTTTCCCATCAGAAGCCTTCTGCTTTCCTTTATCACCAGAAGTCACATACGGTTTTCCCCTGAACTGACCTTTCTCTTTATTCTCACTCAGCTGCTTGTAGTGAGTAGATCGAGCTTGGCTATCTTCATCATAGATTCTGCTCTTGTTCACTAGTTCCGAAAACCGGCGAATCTGCTGATACCCAATTCCCTGCTTAATATCTGGTCTCAAACCATTCTCAAACTTGAGACACTTCGACATCTCTGCGTCATCACGGTTGTATACGGACAAAACTTGACCAAAGACTCAAACTTTGCCGCATACTCAGCCACAGTCATATTACCTTGTTTCAGCTCAAGGAACTCCACCTCTTTATTCCCCCAAACATCTTCAGAAAAATACTTTCTCAAAAACTCTTCTTTAAACATAGTCCAAGTCATTGCAATGCCCGCATCTTCTAATCTCTGGCAAGTATTATCCCACCAGTCCTCAGCCTCCTCTGCCAGCATATGCGTACAAACTGGAACGGTTGCGCATCAGTGCATGTCATAACTCGGAAAATCTTCTCAATCACTTTCAGCCACTTTTGCGCACCATCAGGATCATGAGTACCCACAAAAGCCAGCGGATTGTTCCTCTGAAACTTTCCCAAAGCACGGAACTCATCTGGAGGTCCATCATTCTGAGTCATCACTTGGGCAAGTGATTCCAACGCATCAGCAATAGCACCATCATTCCTTTCTGCCATCTACAACCACCAACAAGGCTGGAAGGAAACAACTCATCGATAGCGTTCTCACACTATCAAATGACAGGAGATTAACAACATAAACACTTGGCCGGACGGACCGACCTGCTCTGATACCACTAATGTAACACCCTTTTTCTACCCCAAAAATATCAAGGCAAAATAACACAGAAATCAGAGTGAATAGATAAATCTCCTTAAAATGTCACTAAAAGGGCGTACATTTCTCAAAGTCATCAAAATAGGTCCATACTCCGTAACTACGGGTTTTTCCCAAAGCATATCAAAACATCATAAACAGTGGAACTCAAAACATAAATCAAAGTTTTCCTCAAAAAGGGAAATTAATCAAATTAACGTCAACAGTATAAAATCAACTCAA